GGAGAGGCCGCAGGTGGACGAGGCTGTGGATTCGCTCAAGTCGGCGATGCTGTCGGTCATGCTCAGCGCCGACTCTCTCCGCGGGGTGACGGTGGCGGGGATGGTGGAGGCGCTGAGCCCGGTGCAGACGGCTGCCTTTTTGGTTGCGGCGGCGGAGTTTCAGTTGAGTGTGAGGAGGTGGGGCCGGGAGAGGGATGACCAAAGAGTTGCTCGCTAAGGAATGTATTGATAAAAAAAACTATTATTTATCTATCAAATGAAATAATAAAAAATTGTCTCTATGGGTTTCAGGCATGGTTGTCACACCGGCCGGCGTGCCACCGGTTGTACCTGGTTCAACCGGTACCGATCATAAAACCGGCATGACATCACCGGTATGACCGGCATGATCGATATACGAATCTCTAAGTAAACTTACCTTATTTTAGTGAATTTAATTGATAAAAATTATTTTATTATTTATTTTATGAGTATAAAAGTTAAATATTGATGTTATTTGTTGGATTCAAGTATAAATGTTTAGGTATTGACGTTAAATGTCATATTTAAATATGATTATTTATAATTTTATTTGTAATATTGACCGGCATGAACCGGCACAAACCGGTATGTGCCACCGGTTGAACCATTCTACTTGCTAAACCGACACACTGGCATAAACCGGTTTGACAACCTTGGTTTCAGGGCATGATTTTTGTGCTCGACTCCGGAGGTCGGCATTATGTAAACTTGTTGGTTGTTGTTATGCAAGTGATTCTTTTCTTAAAAAAATGTTTTTAACTTTTTCTTGTCCATTTTTTCTTCTTAATATGTGTCAAGGTGGGAAACGAATGGACAGTAGAACTCGCAAATTATAATTTGATTCATTAACTCGACCCAAAATCGCATGAAAAATAGAAATTTGTATAACTCGTAAACTGAATGACCCGAACTCAATAATCTGTGATTTTTTGGGTCGGGTTGGGTGGGTTAGTGGGTCGGTCGATCCATTAGACCCGTTCCATTTTATATATATCACTCCCAAAATGATAAAATCACTCATAAATTGGTGAGATGTTTTAAAAAATTCACAACGATTTGAATGACATGTTTGGAGTTTAAGGATAATCAAATATCTTGTGTTTCTTGTAGTATCATCACTCTTGTGATTGTTTTTTAATGATATGTGCAATTTGTATTTCATTAGCATAGGAGGATTTGAGAATATCTTAATTGACATATGTTAGGTAAACTATTGTCATGCATATGTGAAGATTTGTGTTCTTTAAAAAAAATATGAACCATGTTTGATATTGTTTCTAAGAGCGCTCAAAACCCGAAACGACCTGTAACCCGACCCGAAACCGAATGGGTTTGTCAACTAAATTTAACCTAGAAATTTCAGCCCCAACGATTATGCGTCTAAAAAAAACAATGAAACCTAAAATTCTAAAAGTTTAAAATGAAAAAGACTAAGAGAAATATGAGGTTTGTTCCTTTAAAAATTTACTAGAGCACCTGGTGGATGCAGGGATGGACACACAATGCAAATTGATTAGTCGATTTGTCTAGTGTTGATGCTGCTCGTTTCAACAACTACTACGAAGAGAACCTTTTTAATAATGAAACATGCGAGAATTGATTTGCTCAACAAAATGAGCGATGAATTTCTCGGGGTTATTTTCAGGAATATTGTTTTTTTTTTTAAATTTACCACGAATATAGTGGTTTTAAAACTATTTACAGGAATATTGTGTTTTTTGATATGTTGAAAGCGCCGAAGCTCCAGTCCGGGGCGCCGGCGCCAGGTGCTTTTTAAAAAAAAAAACTCGGCGCCGGCGCCCCGGACTGGGGCTTTGGCGCTTTTGAGAAAGAAAAAGCGTCGGCGCCCCAGACTGGGGCTTCGTCGCTGCCATTTTTTCCCACTCCAGCACCACCCATTCCATATATATACTGCACCTTTCCTTCGGTTCTTCATCACCAAAAAACTGAAAGAAGTTCTGAGAGAAGCTCTGGTGTTGCTGTCTGGTTGCTGGGAAGATGGCTAATAACAGGTAAGAGTCGTAATTTTTTTTTTCATGTATTCATCATAATGATTTTGTCCAATTAGTAATTAGAGTTTGTTTTTAATGTAGTGGTTTTAGGAGATTTGAACTAGCTGTTCGGTGGCGATCAGAGAAAGTAGAAGACAATTTGGGTGTCCATTTTGTTGGTGGTTTAAGTTTCCAGATGACTATTCCATCCAGGGTGAACTATCAGAAACTTTGTGATCATCTAATTCGGAGAATACGGATTAGAGACGAAACAGTACAAGATAGTGTTGTGATTACAGGTTTCACCTACTGTCTTCCAGAATGGCAGAATGGTGTTTTATTTCATCATGCAATGCCTATTGTCGATGATGATAGCTTAAATGTGCTTTGGAATTTTATGGCACAAAATTCTTATTGTTTGGGTGCTGAGATACATGCTGAGCTCAGTGAGGATCGGGATGGAGAGGAAGACGATGATGACGGTGATGATACATGGAGCGTGCCATCCGATCCTGCCTTTGATGACGATGATGACGAAGAGGAGGAAGATGAGGAGGAGGAGGAAGATGAGGAGGAGGAGGAGGACGACGACGACGGGGAGGGAGGAGAACTACCTAATTATCCTCCATATTTTTACTTGCAGGGTAATGAAGAGGACGAGGAATTATCATATGCTGATTCATATGGCGTAATTCCAGGGTCTACTGTTGGTGGTTTTGATGGAGAATTCTACAAGGGGCAGATATTTCACTCGAAACAAGCTGCACAGGTGGCGATTAAGCACTATGCACTACAACGCAACTTTCAGTATAACGTGGTGGAGTCGTCACCTTCAATCTGGAAGATCAGATGTTTGATGCACAAGGAGGACAAATGTCCTTGGATGGTGCGGTTTGGATGTCGAGATGTGGGAGGCGATTGGAGCGTGAGAAAGGTCGAGTTGGTGCATACTTGTAGCAGTACGACTCAACCGACGGATCATCGCCATCTTGATGTCGACGTGATATCTGAGGCCGTCAAACATTTGGTACGTGCCCAACCAAATCTGAGTGTTCTAACTGTGCAAGCCGAGTTGAAAGATAAGTTTAATATGCAAGTTACTTACAAGAAGGCTTGGTATGGGAAACAAAGAGCATTGGAGAAGTTGCATGGAAATTGGGAAGAATCCTATGATTTTTTGCAGACATTCTTGCGGGTGGTCAAGAGAAAAATGCCAACATCGGTGATTGATTGGGTAAGAGTTCCTTCGACTCAACCAGGTCATTCGATATTTCAGCGAGTATTTTGGGCTTATGGTCCTTGTATAGATGGATTCAAGTATTGTCCAGGCGTCATGGTTGTTGATGGGACATTTCTTACTGGGAAGTATAAAGGAGTGCTACTCATGGCGAGCTCATTTGATGGCCGGAAGAAGATTTTTCCAATTGCATTTGCCATAGTGGAGAGTGAGAATACTGATAGTTGGCCATGGTTCATACGTCACGTTCAGGGTTTGACTGATCGAAATGATGTATGCATCATCTCAGATAGACATGCAGAACTCTATGAAGCCATGAATAACATCGGAAGAGGTTGGGAGTGGAGGTGGTGCATGCGACACTATGCAAGCAATTTGCAAAGGAAGACTAAAAGCAGAATTATGTATAAGCAACTATTTCGAGTCGGTAAGCCTTCTTCATTTAATTTTGTTATTTATTTTTAGGTAAGTTTGTCATGAATTTATCTAACCCGTGTGGTTGATTATTTTGTTAGCCGGAGAAAAACGCTTGGAGAAGTTCGATCGTCAAGTTGAGCAATTTAAGAAGGTGGCCACTGATAGAAATATTTCATGTGATAACTGGGTGGACCAACATCAGATTCGTTGGAGTTTAGCACATGATAACTTCAATGGTGGGCGTCGTTGGTCTATCCTGACATCCAACATGGCAGAAAGCATCAATGGTGTTTTCAAAGGTATTCGTGCACTTCCTATAGCTTCTCTTGTGCAACATACCTATTGGCGATTGGTGGAGAAATTCGATAAGTACAGGTTGGAGACAGGAGCAGAAATTAGGAGTGGTCCTTCACAGTACTCCACCAAGTGCGAAGAACTGATGAAGCCGTGGTCACAAAAGGCAGTTGGGCATTCTGTGACAGCTCTTGATCGAAGTCAAGGCATCTATGTAGTTCAGACTCCCCCCAACAATTTCAACATGACGGGGTCAAACACACTCACAGTGCACTTTGACGACCACAACCGGACGGGATTTTGCACTTGTGGGAAATTTCAAGGAAATAAAATTCCTTGCTCTCATGCCATTGCAGCTTGCAACCGAATGGGAGCCCATCCATATAGGTTTGTAAACGACGTCTACAAGCTTCGAACAGTGCTTGCTTGTTATGGGACAAGTTTCTCTCCTCTTGGTGAACCTAAGGGTTGGAAGAAGCATAATGACACTACTCTCCATCCTAATCTGGACATGATTAGAAAGCCGGGGAGACCAAGATCAACACGAATTCACAACGAGATGGATTGGCCAAGGGAGGGTTCATCACAGCAAGTGTGTAGCAACTGTAACCAAGCGGGACATAATGCATCAACCTGTGATGGCCAAGCAAGTGGGAGTGGGAGCAACCGAAGAGGGAGTGGTGGCCAACGAAGTGCGAGAGGTGGTAGAAGAGGAGGAAGTAGAGGGAATAGACGTGGCTGAGAAGTTTGGAAGAATGTAGCAGTTGTTGTTTTTCTTTCGATTTATCTCGTTGAAGTTGTTGTTTGGACTTGTTGTTGTTTGAAGTTGTTGTTGTTTGGAGTTGTTGTTGTTTGAAGCAGTTGTTGTTTGGACTTTTATGAACTGAACTAGCTTTTGGAATTAGTCCGCATGAAATTAAAAATAGTCCAAAAAAAAGTACATAATAATAAATAGTCTCAAGAAAGAAAGTACATAATAATAATTCATAGTCACAAAGAACATAATAATAATAGATATCTCAACATAGTACATAAATACACTAACGACCACCACGACCACCGCGCCGACCACCACGACGACCACCGTGCTCTGCCACTAGATGGCCGCCAGTACCACACCTCGCTGGCCTCCTGTCTCGTGGAGGCAACTGCTCAGCTCTCTCCGCCCCATCATCCTGATCCTGTGTGCCGAACATATCATCCACCTGTGACTGAACCTGCTCATCCGGTGGACCCTCTCGTCGCTGTTGCTCATATGCCCAATGAGATGTCTGGAAGTCCTGATCCTGCATCTGCAGATCGACACGCTCCCACTCGTCGACGTCCAAATGTGGCAGGACTGTACTACCTGATCCCATGTGCCCTCCTCCCATCGTAGCATGCTGAGGTGTGTGAAAGCTATCCTCCTGGGGCTGAAACTGAGGGCTAGAAGAACTGGTGCCTGCCTGAAATCCGGTAGAAGCGCCTGGCCGTAACGGTGGCTGAGAAGGCTGGTGAAATGTGAAGGTCGAAGTAGGTCTGACTGGCTGACGATCTGAGTACCTCACTCCACGAGGTACGTCACCCTGCTCACGTCGCTGTCTCCTCCTACTGATCTTGATGACGCCGCCACCAAGATCAGTAGGAGCCTGTCCTAACAGTCGAAGACACATAGCCGACCAGTCCTCGTCTGGTATGTCTACTATGACGGCATCACCGTCGATCGCTAATCCAGTGAGTGTCGCAACGTCCTCTAGAGTGATCGTCACCTCACCGAACGGCATGTGAAATGTCGATGTCTCGGGTCTCCAACGCTCTACGAGCGCAGTAATCAAACCCGGATCACCGGTAAGAGGGGCTAGTGGCAGAACACTAGACAAGCCGGCATCGACGAGATACGGTAGGTACAGTGGATTGTATCGAACTAAATTGCCCGTATGACGAATGTGGTATGGTCGATCACCAGCCTATAATTAATTAATGCACAAAACTATATTAATTCAATTCCTTCAATTCAATTCACCTAATATTTATATTTATATATCTAAACTAAACTTATTCTAATATAATATTCTTAATTTAATCTAATAATATTCTTAATTTAATTTTATCTAATTCTATTCGTCTAATTTAATTTAATTTAATTTAATTCTATTCTATTCTATTTCTATTATACAGCTAATAAAAAAAACTATAGAAATAATTTAATTTAAAAAACTTACCTCATTTGCCCAAACTGCGTCAATCCGATGGTGACCATGCCCCCAAAGAAGTTCCGGATCATTCGGAGCAGTATCGATTGTCGTAGGTGGTGGTCTCATCGAACAAGGATCGATAAGCCTAGGAACTGAAAAAAAAATATTAGAACACAAAAAAAAAAAAAAGTCGCCGGAAAAAGTCGCCGCCGGCAGGACTCACTCCGGTAACGTTCGCCGCCGCCGCCGCCGCCACCGCCGCCACGCCGGCCTCGCCGGCCTCGGCCTCTTCCTCTGCCGCCGGGGGCGTGCTCGTCGTCCGACATAGCGCCGCCGCTGTGGTTGGTGCGCCTTCGCCTTGTGCTGCGCGCCGCCGCCTGGGACTGGGGCTCCGCCGCCTTTCTCTTGGCTTCGCCGCTCTGGTTCTCGGCGTCGCCGCTCGTTCTCGGCGCTGGGATGGAGAGGAGGAGTGGAGGGGGATGGGGGTCTGTGGTCTGGTGTGGTGCGAGAGGGAGGGGGAGGAAGGGGGTAAAAAAAATAAAATTGATAGCGATGGCGCCCAGGTCTCGGGCTTTGGCGCCTTTGAAAATTTTTGAAATTTCAGAAAGCGCCAAAGCTCGAGTCTTGGGCGCCGTCGCTATCAACAGCCTTTAAAACTCCAATATTTGAGTCTCGGGCGCCGTCGCCCACTTCCTTTCTAAAAACACAATATTCATGTAAATAGTTTTAAAACCACTATATTCGTGGTAAATTAAAAAAAAAAATACAATATTCATGGAATTAACCCAAATTTCTCGCCGATTGCGCTGTAGACTCCATTATTGATGCATTCTCTAAATTAAAATATTATCGGGTACAATTTAAATTGCAAAAAAAACTATAATCATTATTTTTTTAAGGTTCTAATTTTCTAATGAAATGCGGCCCAGTACTTCTCTGTGTTGTGGATCCGCCGCTGCTCTCGAGTCTCTAGTCTAGTGACTTGTCAACAGCTTGGTGATATTAATCTGATATATATATTATATATATATATATATTAATGAAATTTGATATAATTTAATTATCAAGAGCATTTTTTAATAATTTAATTTTTTTTAAAAATGCTTGTCCCACGTAATGCGCAAAAGGGTTTTTTGTTTGTTGTGATTAATTTCACATTTTTTTCTAATAAAAAGAAAGAATCAACCTTTCCACATTCTGTTTTTCTTTTGGGGGGATTATCCCCTTGAGTGTTGTTTCCGAAATTTGGCACAAGTCCCAATAACAAATGAAAAAGTTTCAAATCAGAAGTCTCATACTTTCTTTTTAAGAAACGGAAATACACGTAATATGGTCCATACTCCATACAAAATGCGTAACTATGTTTGGGTCGATGTGTCAAAGTCCTACCATGTTTTAAAAGCTAAAATCATATTAAAAATTTCTGTAAACCGAGAGCTCAACATTATTTTTGATAGTCGTGGAGTTGTTCGAAGCTTCAAGGCTTCAACCTGTATTGGGGGTCTAAAAGTTAGAAGCTTTGGTTTGTTATATATATATATATCCAGGCAGCTGATAGAATGAGATTCTTCGCCTAAACGATTGATGAGGCTGATGGCGTTGCTATAGAGCATTTGGAGGTCAAAAAATTGAGTTGTCCATAAGATGTATCCAATATCGCGACCCCTATTTGCTTTAACAATATAGGGTTCAGGTGGAGGAATGGTTAGTAGTACTGCCACGAGCTACTTGAAGGCGCTGTGATAGGAAATGTGAAACCGGTGAGCCGAAACGACGTCTCAGCTTTAGGTAGTAGCACTATGGCTTTCAACATTAATGGTTTCAACTTCAACCTCTCTGTAGTTGATAGTTAAGGTCACGTAATTAACAACCGGACTTATATTATTAACCACCAATACGATCAAGAGTGTGCTTTGGTAGATGTCGTGGTGGCCGACTGATGGAAATTCGAGATGTAATTCGTTGGTGCATATATGTGATCACATTCATCCGTGCAGGTTATTGTCAGTGGTTAGCATGTGTCAACAACTACCCCTATCCTAGGCCAAGTTTAACCTAAGATGACATTGTCGAATAGTGGCAATCAATGTCGTATTTTACTCGGGTCCTGGTACCCTAGCCTACTTCCCACCTTGTTGTTATTTAGTCGATCGGTTTGGATGTTTGAGTGGAGGATTTGAGCAAATTACTAGTTTAGAGATTGAATAAAGCTAAAAGCAGGTACTTTTGGGAACTATCCCTCACCCTAGCCTAGGGCTACTATGCAATGTCTAGATACTTAGGGTTTATCGAATGTGGTGAGTGAGCTCGTTTCTGTGGTCTTTCATGGTTATCCACACACCTGAGAGTACGCCTCCCCTAGACCCATATAAATTCACCTCGATCTAGGATATCTTATCTACGAAATTAAGCTCGTAGCTCCTTTCAGTGGATACTATCCACCGTCCACGTCGAGGTTTTATCCCGTGTTATATCTAGGAAGGCTACGTACAATAGGGGTTTGGTCGCCTCGACCACCATAGATCCCTATTCATATATCTACCTTAATTTGTTTGATGGCACATACCCGTCTAACCCTAGAACTCCATACCCAGCATAGAAACATAAAGTAGGCTAACAAAGAAGATTAGGGCGACTTACCCAAACACAATCAATGATAGAATAGCAATAGAATCAACTAGATAACACATTCATTCATTCAAACCCTAGAATATCCATACATACATAGTAAACCCCAAAACTAGGGTTTGGGGTTTAGAACCCCTACTACCTTAGAAGACTACTTCATAAAGGAGTGAAGAAGATACATAGAAGAGGTGGAAGAACATTTGATGTTGAGAAAGATGCCTCCTCTCCTCTAGCTCCTTCCTTCAGCTTCTCTCTCTTCTCTATCCCTAAAACCAAAAATTCATTTCTCAAAATCCGCTCTCTCAAAAGTGGGAAAGACATCTTCTATTTATAGGCAATCAAGGGACGGAGAAGTTCGCGGCCGGGATCTTTAATAGCAAGGTCACGATCTTGCAACGCTGTCGTATTGGCCTTTGGGGTTGAGGAGATCACGGGCTAACTTCGCGGTCGCGATCCTTCGGTCGCGGCCGTGATCTTCCTCGCGGTCAAAATACACTATGGCCGTGATTCGACTAGGGAAACTCCTTCGCGAAGTTCGTGCCCAGAGCCCTCCAATTCATCGCGGCCGCGATCTTGTGCTTCTAGGCCGCGATCTTCAGCTTGACTTCGCGGTCCATGTTCTCGACCGTGATCTTCTCTTCTAGGCCACGATCTTCAGTCTTCTGCCCCCTTGCTACACTTGCGACCTTGTTTTGTACCTAATTCGCAATTATTGCATTAGGAACGAAATCGGGATGCAATTGAGCAATCAAGCAATTATGCACATGAATTGACACGAAACAAACCTCAATATAAAGGGTAAATAACACCAATTTAGGTGTTATCAAACTCCACCGCACTTGGTCGTTTTCTTGTCCCCAAGCAAACCTACTCAAACCTAATGCAACATGATACACAAACCAATAGGGAATGCACTCTAGTTCTTCATTGCATAAAGAAGAGTAGACGGAGATGAATGAACGTTAATATCATCTTACTGTGCAAGCACAAACTCTTGGGTGAGGATCATACTTACTACCTTAGGCCGAACATTCAAGGTGTGCCCCGGGGTATTCTCAAACAACAATCAAGCACAAGAACTCTCAAAGGTGCTTTTCATTCTTTCTTACGATCAGGAGTTGTCATTTATTTGTCTCCTTTTTCAACATTTAAGCGCATTGCACCAAGCTTTTGCAATTATTTTGCAAACAAGCATCTCTCCCTCATTGACCAAGAGCGGATAAACCATAGTCTTCCCTTTCAAGGTCACATGTGGGGAAGTTGATGGGCAGATTCATCTTAGCCCGAGCACCATTTCACAGTCTGCGCTCCACATCGGGTTGTCACACATGTCGGGTACAAACGAGAGCTTTGAGGTCTTATGAATCGCTAAAAGGTACTTTGGACCTTGGCATATGATTCCGTGAGGAGGAAAGATGCTTGGGGGATGGTAAGTAGTGAAAGATGGTCGGGACACAATAAAGCTATTTGATCCCCAAGCATATCCTCAAAGGGCACTATGAATCCGTGAGGATTGGTTGCCTCTCATGTGAGCCTCATTTGCAAAAGATTTTTCTCTCTTTTCTTTCTTTTTTAATACGCAAAAATCTTTAAAAACTTCGAGTTCAAAAATCAAACAAAGCAAAAGAGTATTACCGCACACATGTTCTTCCTAAAATAACACATATTGTCTACTCACAAAAGAGGAAGAAGATAGTAATATTACCACACAACGGTACTCTAATCATGCAACTATTACCTGGCGAGCATAACACATCAATCATCTAACAAATGAAAGCATATTGAGTATGGAGTTGCAAGGAACAAGGTGATTTGAAACCCTCAAATTTGAAAAAAAAGGGTAATGCGTTGAAGTTTCCAAAACACTATCATTTGACCATTGATCATCACAACACAAACACAATTGCTAGCATACTCTCCCATACGCATTCATCAACATCTTACATTCACAAACAAGTGAGGATACTAGCAATTCATGGTTCAACCAATCATGATAATCATTCAAACAGTCACACCCCCCCCCCCACCCCCCACACACACACTTGAGCAACACATTGTCCTCAATGTGGGAG